TTATATTATTAAACCAAAAATAAATTATTTCGTTATTAAACTTAAATTAAATTATAATAAAAAAAATTAAAGAAATTACATAAAAATGAGAACTTTTAAATAGTTGATTTGATATTAACATTGATATATATTTTTTTTCAAATTTTTATGATATCTTTAAATTTATATTTTATTCAAAAAATAAAATTATTAATGCTTTCTTAAAAACACATAAAATCGTATTATAACATCGATAGAGACAAATAATAAAATAGAACATTAAAATCGAGATGTGTCTCGCTGCATTGCACAAGTACTCTTCTTGTATTTATATAAGGTTAGGTATCTATGAAACCATAAAATAATATTAAATTTTTATAATAAAAAGTTATGAAGATATAAAAAATACCAGGAGCCGTTTATCCGAATGCTTACCCGGTAAGTGTTTATTGATAGGAGTCAATATTATAATTTATTTTGATGCGTAAGATTTTAGTGCATCAAAACATATCGAATGCAATAATTTATGGGTAAACGCTTACTTGGGTAAGAATCATCATCCTTATTTACTAGGAAAACCTCTTCGTCTTTCTCATGGCTCTTACCTGATAAATTATTAGCACTTGCGCCATGTTCATCTGATGAGAAAATTTATCCGGTAAACACTTATCAAATAAACATTTAATAAACGATCCTTTAATATTTATAAAATTCTACTATAAAGATTCTATGTCTTAAACGATTACAAGTCTATATATCAGGAAATGCAAAATTCAAAAAAAGTTGTTTCAAGAAATATACAAATTTCGATAAATAATTTTGTGTTAAAAAATATCATTTTATTTTACTAGAAGGGTACTCGCACAATACAACGAGATATATCTCGATTTTAACATTTCGTTTTTTTTGTCTTAGTCAATGTTATAATACATTTTTATGTGGTTTTGAGAAAACAATAACATTTTTATTTTTGAATAAAATATATCATAAAAAATTGAAAAGAATATTGATATTGGTACCAAACTAACTATTTAAAGTCTCTTTTTTAGTGTATTTTTTTAATTCATTTTTTTATTTTTGTTAATAATATAATTTTTTATAAAAATAAAAATTAACTATTTTGTTAGATATTAATGATTATCTTAATTATATTTTAAATGTTTTATATTTAAAAATGAGATGTTTATCCTCTATTTGATTATGTTTATCTGTAGTTAGTTACACGAATTCAAATATTAAGCTTTAACAAATTATATTTACGTAAAATTTACTTATAATCTTGATTTTAAGTAATATGCATCAATAAACATATTTCATGTATAAAAAATAGTTTTTAAGATTTTTTGTCAAATACTTTATAATATAGTATAGAATTATAATTATAATGATAATTTAACTTCTATGTTATTATATTTTCCGTTGGTATTTTTATTTTCTGCCGTTTTATTTCAACCAGCTTTCTATTTTTATGTTCATGACATGAAGTATGAACATGGCTACGGGTTACGGGCTACGGGCATACAATGTCGTTTGGCTATGGATTTTTTACGGCTCTGTTGCTAAAATCTAAATCCTATGTGCTGTTTAAAAACTTCGATTCCGTTATCTTCCTCGATGGATTCTCGAAATCATGGTTTTTTGGCGTTAATCTTACTAATTATCTCATCGGTTCTCTGCTTACAACCTAGGGTTCGAAACATTATGGTTATTCTTACCGTAAAGAATTTTGATATGGTTTTGAATCTTAACTGTTTGATTTAAGTGTAGGCCGATGGAACTGGTTCAGTTTTCTTCCTAGATAGCTCAACTCAGCGGTATTTTCGACCTCGCTCACCTGAGGTAAATTTATTGGAGATTTGTAGTTCTAACTTGATATATGGCTCTGTGGTTATGATTATTCGTATTACATGAATTGACAATGGTGATACCGAATCAATGTTGTTCTAGATGACTTGAAGATGTTCAGTTAATTATGTTTTGGCAATTGGGAGTCATTGTGGGCTTGTGGCCGGTACAGATTGTCGCTAAGAATGTCATTATGGATTATCCCATGGGTAGGTAAAAATCTAAGGAAATAGAAACGATGGCTTTAGATGATGGTATTAGATGAAAGAAATGTAAGCGAATTATGGTGTATTTTGTTCTAGAAGTTTATTGACGAGCTTCTAGCATTGTAATTGGAATTACTATTAGCAGTGCAGGAGTACTGTCCTCTAGTCTTGAAGCATAAGTAAAAAGGTTAAAAGGTTGGGCCAATGCTTCATCATTCAAAATGAACTTGCGGTCACTTCAAATCCTTAAGCTTAGACTTAATAATATGTGGAGACTACTATATACATATGCCAATTTCATTGGGAGTGTTTTTCTCCATTCTTGAAGGTCATTCATGGTACATCATTTTTCGTTGAAGTGATCGGATGATAGTGATTGTCTTTATAGTTATGGGTGAATGATCAGTCTAGCTCTATACTCGCTACTAGTGGGTGCGCTTGGTATGCAAACGGGAATGGACCAGACAGGACTAGAGTGAGATAGGAAAGAATTATGGAAGATTTTAGGGCTTTAAGATTACATTGGTAGTTTAGTAATTTACTAGTAATATCCAATCACCTTCACTCAACCCATCCTGTCCCAGTCTGATATGTCGTGTCAGACGTGGGACAACAAGTTCTTGTTCTGTTATGTCTCATCATATCTCGCAAACAACCACACCTGAAAGGAATTTAGAATCCCTGCATGCATGTTGTAATATAAATTAAACATTTATACTAGGTTCTCTTTTTGGCATGTTCAAAGAATAATGGTGCCACTGATCAACTCTCATGAGTATTATAACCACTGGTATCTTTATCTGCCACTCTTTTCATTGTTGCACATGTATTCTCAAGTTGATTATAGAGAAAGAACACCACATATCTCATGTTAGAAAAACTATGTTGTTTGAAGATGAACCCAAGAGTATGTGAGATCTTACTGCAATCTTAGTGTTTATCTGTGCAGTCTCAATCACTGTTACTTCCGGAAATTGGTGCTGCTATTTCAGTGTTGCTTGGTTTTGCACCTCCTCTTACACTTTCCCCGACAAGCTCAAAAAAGGAAATAATCGTTATCAATGAAATTTTCTGGTTTCTTGTTTCTGCTACTTGAGTTTTCCTGTAAAATGTGATGGTTGCTTATTGATACTGCAGTTGGATGAGGTGCTTCTGCCTAACCCCTTTGATAGGCCTCGTGCTGTTTTCGTGCTAGAGATAAATGGGGTTGAAGGTACTTAGACTGCTACAGGTAGCACCATCTCTTACATTGTTTTCCGTCTAATTATTTCTAAATTTATTATGATGCACGCAGATGAGGGATCTGGTCTTGGCATGGATAATGATGTTTTCGTCAGTTCCCTTAAGAGTAGAGTTGCCTTTGGTCAAAACTATGCAGACATTCAACTTTCAGGTTTAACATTTTTGTCTTTTCGTGTAGCAGAGAGAGTTTTATTTAGATATGTTTTTTAGATGCATACTTGCAGATAAAGAGAAGGTGTCTCTGGTCTCTTTAAATGAACCCCTGACTTCGGATATGGAATTCACCGACAATATATTGGATGATTTTGTTAGTCATAACTTATTTCAGTTGCATATATTGTATTGTGTTTCATATCTACTTGTGTGGCCTTTTATTGTGCATTGACATAGTCTGTTGTTCGTCAATTTAGGCCTCTTGGTTAGGTGGATCATACGTCCGCAACCTAGTGAAGTCATTGAGCGGAGAGTTGACTGTTCCCTTAGCAAATGATGTCCAACTAAAGCTCCATATGTCAAAGGTTGTTCTTGAATATTGCTGTGTCCATGCATTGGTTTCTTGTTTATATGTTCCCTAGCTTTCCTCCTTTTTCCCGAGTTCAAATAACCGATTTATTTATTCTTGCAGAATGCAGACAGAGAATTTACAACGAGCCTCGTCTCTCTCATCCAAAATGTCCAGAGGGCAGTGCAAATGCATCAAGATTTCTCAAGAAGTACACATAGTCCAGCAGAGTTGGTGATGGGAAGGTTTGATGGTGTCAAGGTGATAACCTCATTTTCTTTTCTCATTAGAATCCCACATCGACTAGACTTTGACCATTCATCCTCCATATATGTTGGAGCCTCCATTCTCTCCAAAGGGCTCTTTTGGATAGTATCACAACCAAGGTCTACCACTCTAGGGACTCAACACTCTTTTGTACCCGTCTAGCCCCCTCTCAACACTCTAGGACAATTTGTGCCCATCTAGCCTCCAATGGAGGCGGCGTGCCAAATCAGCTAGATTTGGACCAATTATCCTTCATATATGTTGGAACTTCCCTTCTCTTTAAAGGGCTCTTTTGGAGAGTATAGGATTCTATATATTCTCAACAATTACATTGTCGGAACTAGCAGCATATGGTTTGGAAGTTCTCTAGGAAGTCTTTGTCCTAACCAATGCTTTAACTTTTACAGAACCAGATTTTCCCTTTAATTAATATAGAAGTATTTTGAACCCTAGAGATATATGTAAGAATCATCATGAAGTGCCCCATCAAGTTGGTGAAAGCCTGATACTGGATGGCTCCAAAAAGCATGATAGAGGAAACTAGTATATAGTGGTTAAAGCCATCTGTAGCTCTGTACTCTTCACGTATATCGGTATGGGACTGAGGCCTCAGAATATCATTTTCTTAATGTGTTCGGTATGCGAGACAGGACTAACAAAAATGTACCTTTTTGTCCCATCAAGATAGGTGGAACAAATATATATAGGAAGATCAAAGATGGGACAAGATTGATAAATTGCTAAACTACCCTTGTCAAATCAAAATCCTAAAACCTTACACTGTGCTTTCACTCACCGACCTCACTCTCACCTCTCCAGTCTTTTCCCATCCCGTCCAATCCCGTATGCATGTCAAACGCACTCGCATTAAAAATGGAGCTGGCAATTTCAGCTCATATAGCAACCCCCTAGCCCAACCTGCAAGGCTGCGACTCAACTTGTTATTGATTTTGTAATTTGGGGTTAAAACAGGTTGGAGCACATATGGACAAGCTGCTGAAATTTAGATTGAAGGTATGATTAGAGTCCCAACACCACCCCTCCTTGGGTCAACCCCTCCCAACGCAGCTGACCTGCCACCTATTTCAAATTAAAATGACCTGCCTCCTGTTTTGACCATTTGCCAGACCCGATCCAATCCACATTCTGCCACCTCTTTTGAGAAGGTTACATCATCATATTTTCTCTCTATTAAGATATTAGTACTTGGGTCGTCCCATTGCCATCATGGGGGAGGAAAATCACGGTGCCCTATAGAGATAGGTGGGTGATGCCCAAATTTGAACATGAGACCTCACTTGTGGATTTCTCACCTCGTTACCGCTAGGACAATTCAGTGGGGATTGGGTCGTAAGCCTAACTCCTTTTGGTTTTGTCATGGTTATATTATGACAATTTTCTCTTTCTTCATCTTAAATTTCAAAATTTGTTACTTTGACATGCTACAGGCTTTGAAAGACCAGTATGGATCGAATGACCGTGTTCAGCAAGCTGTCGAGCTGTTAGTGACTTCCGTATCCAAGATATACGGTTTGTTGCAAAAAGTATACAAAGGTCAGCTTTATTCTGAATCACTGACCGATTATATGATGATTTTACCCTACCAAACCAAACGAACCCAGTATATCCCACATAAAGTAGGATTGGGATAAGATATATGCAGACCTTAAAGAGGCTTTATCTGCACTAAAACATTTCAACATATTCATTCCCTTTTCTTCTTTTTTCGCTGCAATATCCTCTTACATCATACTGTGAAATCTTCTTATGTTCTTCTATCCATTGAAACCAGTTCTCGAAGAGGTAAACTGGATAGATACGTTAAAGTATACTAGAAGCATAACCGCGCAAATGCAATGCGGCACGTGCATGGTATTTTAACCTGTGGAAAATAGTTATATCCTTCTGTGATACTTTGTAATATATTTGCCTTGCATTATTATCGTGGCACATTGTATATCATTTTATATTCCGTATTGGTTGTGGGCCGGTTTGCTTGTCATCATACAAACTTGTAATCTTGTATGGTATGGGCCGTGTGATTTGGGTTTAGGACAAGCAGCAATATATTTCCCAACACGTCTTGGTTCTGTTATTGAAGTTCTCCGTGTCAGCAATTTGTGGGTCTAATTTACAGCTCCATTTCTTTCGCTGTGCCAGGTCAAATTGTTGGAGTGGTCCTTTTCAATGGATCGCCTGCCAGAGAGTCGGGGACAATGTTAGAGTGTGACGTTCACTTCACGGCCAGCTCGTTATTGGCTGGAAGAGAGAAACGGGTCACCTCACAATCGTATGATTGCAGAAGTGGCTTTGGTCCGACGAACCCTTGCATGGATCACAGGAAGCATCCTTATAATGGTGACTCTGTTAGGGGTAAGTTCCTTTAACTAAATACCTGCATGTATAATATTTTGGGTTCGTTTGATTTTCTTCAACTTAACAATTTGTGATAGATAATTTGATCAAATTTGAACAACAATGATATAATTGGTATGAAGTAGAATATAGATACTCCCTCCGTTCCAAAAATAAGTATCCATAATAACAATGACACACAATTTTAGACATGCATAATAATTACTCACTCTGTCCCAAAATAAATGTCTACAATGAAAAATGTATACAGTTTTAAGAATGTGTAATTATTACACTTTTTAAATGATAAAATGACAATTTTACCCTTAATTATTGAGAGAAATTTTCTTCATCACACAATTAAGGGTAGAATGGGAAAATAGACATTTACTTTTGAAAGTGGACACTTATTTTAGAACAAATTATAATAGTAGTGTAAACACTTATTTTGAAACGTAGGGAGTATAATTATTTGTTAACCAAATGACAACTGTACCCTTAGGCATTTTTGTAGCAAACATAAGCTAGCTTATTTCTTAAGTACACGATTTAGATAAACATAAGCTAGCTTGTTGAAACATTCCCTAGAGTAATGTTTTGGGAGTTTATTATTACTTTTTCTAACTATGACCTTCATTAATATTCATCATTATCATTTATAAGTAAATAAATAAGAATAAATATTAGTTAATAGTGATTAATATTAATTGAAAATTATTAATTAATATTAATATATTAATTATATATCAATTAT